GAAGTCTAAATTTAAATAAGACAGTGCACACAACGTGGCTGAGTCGATGCCGGCACTTGGGAAATGCCACAGCAGCAATCATAATTACCATTGTTCTGTGCATGGCCTGGCTTCACAAGCAGGAAGGAACCAGGGCAGGTTTGAATTTGGGTTGGTATCCTCAGGACAGATTCCTAATCCCAGACTCACCCCCCAAGAATGGCACTGCACCCTGCAACTGCATGATTGGCCTGAGCAGTCATCAGGAGCCAGCTATTGCAGGCTAATTACCAAGAATGGAGCAGGTAAATTTTTCTGTGGTGCCACGTTTACTATGTCCCTGGAGGACCTGAGGTGCCACCCAGTGTGGGATTCCCCAGAAACTGGAACTCAGGCCTACCTCCCTCTCCTGGCCCAGAGCACATTTTTACTGACCTACTGGAGGACAACAGAGGAGCCCACATGACCTGGGTTCAAGTCCGTGTTCAGGCAGTTAACATGCAAGTCGCCTGCGTCTTCATGGTGCAACCCATGGCTGATGATGGAGACAGAGTGGCTTATTTGCAGAGCTGGGGAAGTGCTTGGCAAATAGCAGGCCAGACCCTGCTTCCCACACACTGTTGAACACAACTCTCTCAAGTGGGCACGGCCTTGCTTCCCAGCAGACATTGTGTCACTTGTCAGCCCTGCAGAGTGTGGTGCCTGCATCCAGTGGGGAGTACACATGCTGGTGGTCCTCCAGCTCGGCTCCCAAGGCAGCCTGCAGTGAGGACTCAGCCTGCTAAATATCCTCAGGGTGCTGTTCAGAGACCCATGAACATCCCCAGTGAGTGGGGCACATGTGGTAAGAGAGAGCCACCTTTACCTCTTAACCCTTTCGTGCCTCTGAATCAGCTGGGGCCTGGTGGTTGAATTTGGAAGGAGAATGAAGAGAAAGAAGCTTGGGCATTTTAAGCATGTAGACTTTTAAAATTTCTGTTTATTTATTTGTGTATACTTTGTGTGGAAATCAGAGGGCAACCTGTGGGAATAAGTTTCTCTCTCTCTCCCTCTCTTCCCCCCCTCTCTTCCGCCCGCCCTCCCCCCCCCCCTGCTCGTGGGCATATACCCACATACACCACTCACACGGTACTAAGGTTGTGTGTAAGAAAGGAGAGTTCCTGACGTGTGACAGAGTGAAGAGGGTGCTGGTTTTATAGCCATCAGGGCCTGGGCGTTCATTCTAAGGCTCTGGAGTGGACATTTTCTTTTCCTCTAGGCCCCAGCCTCAAGGCTGCAGATGAGCCCAGGAGAAGGCACTCAGATTTCAGGCTGATCTCTGCCTTCTTATTTCAAGCTGAGGACTTTGCCTGGGATGATTCTCAGAAGACAATGGCCTTTGTGTTCATATACGAGGTCCTCCCCTGTGGCCTTTGTGTTCATATAGGAGGTCCTGCACTTCAGTCATCCCACTTCAACCCACAGCCCCAGGAGCTTGTGTTCTCGTCCTCTCTCTCTCTCTCTCTCTCTCTCTCTCTCTCTCTCTCTCTCTCTCTCTCTCTCTCTCTCTCTCTCTCTCTCTGGTGTGTGTGCGCATGTGAATGTGATCTGTCCAGACTTAGATCAAGAGAGTGACGCCTGTTGGTGGCCCTCCCTCCCTGTCTGTGACCTTCCTGGGTCTCTCTCAGTCTTCTGCTCTTCTCTTTGTGATGTGACCTTTGTACCCTTTTGCATGTATAGACTGCCCTCTTCCCTGCTTGCTTGAGTTAGTTTGCCTATTTGTTTGCTTTTTGAGACAAAGTCTCAGGTAGCCTAGGCTGGTCTAGTCTCAGCTCCCTAAATAACTGAGGATGACCTTGGACTCTTGCCTCCACCTCCCAAGTCCAAGGATTATAGGCTCATGCCACCAGGCCCGACTCCCTTGTTTCTTTTGGACTATGGAGATTTGATCTTGAAAATCCCCTCAAACACGGTCAGCTGGCCCCCACCTTTGAGAGCAAAGCTAAGATTAAGAGTGGTTATAGACAAGACTCAGGCCAGTGTCCTGCAAACAGTACAGGGGTGTGGGTGGCCCACCTAACAGGCATGGGACCTACAGCTGAAGAACAAAGAAGACTGCTTCTAAAGGGTGACAAACAGGAGGCTGGCAGTACCAGTGCTGAGCTGGGGGGTGGAGGAGGTGCCGAGAGGCGTAAACCCAGGAAGAAGCAGAGGAGATTCCACCTGAGGAAGAGGAGAACAGGTCAGCACCCCTGCGACGGAGGTGCTGGCAAGTTACTGTCTGCTGCAGTGGAGGTGGGGAGGGCCTCTCAGGAGTGGCTGGGTTAGTGAGCTGTGAGCAGTGGGGCCTGACTGGGGTGAGGTGAGTAGGGGGTACCCATCAGAGCTGTCCTCTCTGACTGCCGCGTCCCCTGTAAAGGATCCTGTCCTGGACTCCTTTCACTCTGCTGTTTTTACTTACCCTTGGGCTTCACCACTTTGTTTGGAAGGCCTCTTAGCTTAGTCACCCCTAGACCAGGGATTGACACTGTGTGACAAGGTGGACTTGGTTCAGCCCATGCTTCTTGAGTGTCAGTTTTTTCCTGGCTCCTGCCCTTCTGCCCTTCTGTGTGCTCTGCTGCAGCCCAGGCCTTCCTGTGTCATTACCTTTCTGGACATCTGAATCTCAAAGTTTCTCTTCCCCAAGAGCACCATCCTTGCCCTGGGACCACTCAGGAGATCCTGATGCCTCCCAGGCCTGGCTGTCTCCATTCTGGAGATTTTTGTCCTAGAGATTTTTGGAGATACTCACTATGTGCCCACTTTATCAGAAGGAAGAGTCTGTTCCTGTCATCTCTCTGTAGGCTTCTCAGACTTCCTTTCCCCGTGGGCTGTGACTGGGCCCCAGGCTGACTCTTCTCACGGAACTCCTAACAGAAGCTCCTGGAAGTATGTCCCCGGGAGGCCTTATATTTTCGTCCGTGTACTTTGTCACACACTGTCTGAGAAGCATTTTCTGAGCGTGACTTGAATGGAGTCCGTCTCCCCTCACCACAAGTTAAGAATGCACAGACAGATCAACATGTGATGAGGGAGCTGAACTCCAAGTCATGTGCAGTAGCCCGTGTTAGCATGGGGGCCCTTGTCACTGTGCAGCCTCCAGTGCGGGAAGCCAGCGTCACACCGTGTCTGTGTCTACCTTTGGGGCACACAGCTCAAGCTACTTTTGACATATTCTGAACACATGGCACATGGCATGGTGACCAGTCTTGAATCATACTGCTGGTTAGTGACAGCTGGCTAAGAACAGAAGCCAGCTCCTGGATTACAAAAGTATCCAGTGCTGCCCAGGACCTGGCATCATGAGCCTCAGTTTCTTTCTTTGTAGTCGGGAACCGTTGGCCTGATTTTTAAATGGATACCTGGCTGGGAAGACCTGGGTCATCCTGGCCTTTTGATGCGTTCCCTTAAGTCACAAAGTTCCCTCTCCTCCTTGGAAGGTCCTGAGCCCTGTGGACAGGAGGGATAATTAGTGATCATGGCCGTTGAAGAACTAAAAGCCTCAGAAGTAGGAGATTCTCTTTTCATCTCCTTTGAAGGAATGTGAGGACTTGGGTGGAAAGTTCCCCAGGGTTCCTTGGTATTTCGGTGCTTTGATATCTGGAGGAAGAAGAGAGCAATTAATTGCTATAAATGGCCTCTTCCTATAGGACTGCTCTGATGGTGGGTTGGAGTGTCAGGCAGGATGCTAGCTAGCACTGCTATCCCAGCCATCCTCCAGATGGAGGGACCCACACAGCACACTCAGAGTGGTGTCTGACTCGGGAGACTGTTGAAGTCCCACTGTGTAGGGCTGGGAGGATGGCTCAGTGCATAGAAGCAGTTGCTATACAGACAAGAGGACCTGAGTTCAAATTCTCAGCACTATGTTTTAAAAAAATAGAAAAAAAGGGAATGGCCACATGTGCTTGTAACCATCTCGGGATGGGGCAGACAGAGATAGCCAGATCCTAAGAATCAGCCAGTTGGCCAAATGGTGAGCTTCCGGTTCTGGGCAAGACCTTGTCTCAAAGATATGAGGCTGAGGGTGATAGAGGGAGATGCACTACTCCTGCCTCTGACTCCACGTGCATGCTCAAGTGTGTGCGCTCACACACACGCCCCCCAACCCTCCCCCCCCGTGTGTGTGTGTGTGTGTGTGTGTGTGTATTCCTTTGTATAGAATTGTGCCTTCCTCAGTCTTGGCAGCTTCGTCTATAGAAGGCAGGTAGGGAGATATTCCCAGGCTGCTTTGGTCCTTCCTGCATCTGGCTTAGAACCCATTGCCCTCAGGCTTGGCAGGGCTGAACGGGGTTGAGAACTTGGAGGTCACTCACTGCTGGGTGGGATACAAAGACTGACAAGCTCTAGTACTCTGGAATGATGGCCACTGGTCCCTCAGGAGGCCACACTTCCACCAGGTTAGCCGGTACCTGTTATCCAGGTGATGAGGTTGTTGGGAAAAGCCAGGAAAGCTGTGTTCTTTCGTTCTTGGAAGAGGTGTGTCAGAGCAGACAGACTGCTGCCAGGGTAGTCAGTGTGTAAGCCTCGGTCGTGCCTCCTGTATGTGTGACATGTGTCTGTACCAGAGGACAGCTGCAGATGTCAGCTATGTACACGGATGGACACAGTTGAAGCACACAGGAGGCTGAGGGACCTGACCTTGTTTTCTGAGGTGTTTGGTGGGTGGGAGGCCATCTGTCACAGTGAGCCATTCTGGTCCCATGTTTCTAGACAGGGTGACTAGCCCAGAGGAGGAGTTGTGTGTTGTGTGGAGCAAGCAGACCTGCCTCAGCCGGAAACGAGAGGCCTGGTGCACACTCAGCACCCTGTCTTGAAGGTGTTAGAGCAGGCTCCCTGGGCTTACCTGACACACAGGTATTTCTGGACTGTGACAGAGCCATGGCCACAGGCTTTGTGCCAGAGGTTCTGCTCCCTCAGCATGGGGGCGTGCGCACGGTCCCACTGCGGCAGGCACTGGGGCCTTCAGGCTCCTCCCATGACCGTGTTCTGTGTTTCCACAGGGCGGCACCTTCCTATTTCTTCTCAGCCGCAGCCCTCCCTTTAGAGTTGAGCATCTGTTTGCCTGAAGTTAATTTCCAGAAGCAGGTAAGGACTTGAGGGGAAGGCTCTGTTCTGTGGCCTTGGGACAGTGCTCTTGTGGAGGGAGGGGGGAGAAGCTTGAGACCAGACCCAAGGGATGAACACCACCAACAGTCACCCATCTGACTGCCTTTGCCGTGGTCCCACGTGATGCTTGCTTCTTCCAGTGTGGGGCCTCTTTTTCTTTCTTGTTTGTTTGTTTAACTTGTACTGCTGGAACTTGCACCCAGGACCTGTGCATATAACAAACACACTGTACCACTAAGCTGCCTACCTGATGTGTAGTTCTTAGAGTCAATGTCACAGTGTTGCTAGGTTTTCAGGATAGGATTTGAGCAGATATTTTATGGTTGTGTATGATAATGGCAGAGCCACAATGCACGTGTGAACTTGGTTCTCTCTGTCCACCTCTGTGTGAGTCTAGGGATCAAACTCAGTTCACCAGACTTAGGCAGCAAGTGTCTTTACCTGCTGAGCGATCCGGATTGCCCTGGGTTAGTATTTTCTATTAACTCTATGAGTTATACGGTGGGTTTGTTGTTGTTGTTGTTGTTGTTGGTTTTGTCTGCTATAAACCTTGTGTAAGCGTATATACTTAAATGTTTCAGAGATGTTTGTTTTTGTGGTGCATTGCACATGGAGCTCAGGGCCTTGTGTGAGCTAGGCAAATGTGTTACCACTGAGCCACATCCCCAGCTTTCATGCCCTTGTGTGTCTGTCTGTCTGTCTTTGTGTGTCTGTGTGTGTCTTGTCTGAGTGTCTGTGGGGTGTGTCTTTGTGGGGGTATGTCTGTGTATGTCTGTGTGTGTGTCTGTATGTATGTTGCCTGTTTGTGTTTTGGAAACAGGGTCTGCTGTATCCTGGCCTGGCCTCAAACTCACTGTGTAGTTGAGGGTGACCTTAGAAGTCCTGCTGCCTCACCATCTATCTCCCAAGGGATGGGACCGTAGCCATGTACCACTTTGCCTAGCTCCTTTTTAAAAAAAATTGTCAGATGCTTTAAAAATTTTGAACCAGGCATGGTGGCACAGACCTTTAATCCCAGCACTTGGGAGGCAGAGACAGATGAATTTCTGTGAGTTTGAAGACATCCTGGTCTGCATAGTGAGTTTCAGGACAGCCAGAGCAATATAGAGAGACATGGTCTCCAAAAACAAAAAATTTAAAAAAATATTTTTGACACGGATTCTCATTTTATAGTCTAGATTGAATCAAAACTCGCTACATAGTCCAGTGTAGCCTCAAGTTAGAGGAAAACCTCCATGCCTGGCTCTCATGGTATGTGTTTTGTTTGGGTTTTTAGCAGAGTATATTACTGTCTGTCTGTGGTTGGCCTGGAACTCAATGTGTGGATCAGGCTGTTTCAAACTTGTGGCATCCTCCTGCCTCTACTTTCCAAGTGCTGGGATTACAGGTGAGAGCCATCACACCTGGCTTCCTAGTGTGTTTTACCCTGGAAGGCAGTTAACTGATGCACCCCAGAGGACAACCTGAAGAGCCAGCCTGTGCTCTGGTGTACTTTCAGCTTAAAGCTTCTTTTTTATTTTTCTAAGCGGATGCAAGACCCCCATTGTTATAAACTAAACTTTTTTTTTTAATAAATGCAAGTGCGCAAACAGCATTAGCTTCCGGTTTATAAATAACAGAGAGCACGCGGGGCCCTCCCTGGGTCCAGGGCCACTCAAGCAGGTCAGAGGGAGGCCAGCCTATCAGCTCCTCAGCAGCTGATAGAGACCCATGGGGCAACACCGACCTCTCCTCCTGCACTGCCTCCTAATTCTTCCAAAGTGCCATCGCTTGGTCCATGTAGGTCTGTGTAGCTGGGTGGGAATTCAGCATCCGTGTTCCTGATGTCCCACACGGTGCCCGTGTCAGGCCGTGATCGCACAGTTCTCTTCCCTGTGTGGATCCTGCACAGCGATTGGGAGCCTCTTTTCCTCATCCTCTCCTGACCAGCCTTGCTTCCTGCAGCAGACGGGCAGGCTGCTCAGAACGACCAGCTGCATGTGTGCGCTGCCTGTCTGTGTCTGGAGCCCTGGTGTTTCTATGTTCTCGGTCAGATGGAATCTTCTGGCGTGGCACAACTTTATACATAACATGTGGTTTATCACTACGTAGTAGGAAACCACAGGCTCCGCCCCTCCCATTCAGTAGCGTAGCTGACATCTGCCTGTAGTTTCTTTCCACTTTCCCTTGTCTGTTTCTCCTGACTCCTGAGAAATTTTCGTAGTGGAAAGGAAGCACCGACCTGCCTGCAGGAGTGGGGGGTGTGTAGGGATAGCTGAAGCCATTACTGAGATGCGTCGTTTCTTTTGATTCTGAGCTAGGGTGAGTAATTAGTATCTAAATTAATTACAGTCTGAGCTTATGTGATTTAGGCATATTTTAATAGAGACCAGTTCTTAATCCCTGCAGGGGAAACTAGGGATCCTCCAGTGACATTAACGTACTCCCTGACAGAACCATGATCAAAATTTAATAACATTCGCTTCAGTAAGCAACAAACCCAAGCATGCTATGATATGCTTGTGGCACATCTGTCTGAGGTGATTAGGATGAATTTTCCGCACATTGACACCCTTACTGTGAATTAGGACAGTCTTGCATCAGTTATGACGCTTTCTAGAGCATTTGGCCTGGAATGTGAAGGGCAGGGACCTGTGCTCCACTTTCTATCCCAGAGCCAACCCTGGGCGTTCCTTCCCATCATGCAGCAAGGCAGGGGCAGCAAAGCAGGGCTGTAACAACACCAGCAGAAACTTGCCACCAAGTCTTTGAGAGTTCAATCCCTAGGAGAGAACTGACCCAGAAAATCATCTCTGTCTTCATGTGCACCTCGGGGAGCACGCAAACTTGCAAATAAAGAAATGCGTGTAAACGGAATGCTAGATGACAAGAATTTTTAGAAATGCTAAGTCAGGGTTCTTCTGAAGTTTACGGGACAGTGTTGTGGCAGGCCCACGTGTTGACGTAAGACGACCATGGAGCCCTGTGGCTATATAAGCCCTGAGCGCCCATGGCTGGGCTGCAGCAACGAGCAGTCTGCAAGGTTAAAGCTGAGGGAGAGTGCTGTAACATACACCCGTGTAACATGACTGCACAGTGCTGAACGACGGGCTTTCTCCAGCCAGCACTGACATGATAGCCTACCGTCCTACAGGGGAAGCCCTCTGAAGGCCCTGGGGCCGCAGTGCTAACCAGGCCGCTGACCTGCTGGAGGAGCTCTCTGAGTGAATACATATGAGTTCCTTGGGACCCATTGTGATTGGAGTGTGCTATGTGAGAGCTTCCCTTGGGAATGGACAGCAGGATTCTTGGGTCACCAAGATGCCCTGAAAGCTCCAATGCTTTTGTGGATGGTGGCACCTAGTGGCTGTTCTTGGCATGTCAGTGAATCCTAGGGGCCGACCCAGCCTTTGAGCACAGGACACAGTTGGAAGATTTTGCTCATGGGAGCTCTGATTCCCAGAATCAGAGCTTCATGAAACACTTCCAGTGTTTTCTGGAGATCACAGTGGCTCTAGCCACACTAAGTACTTTGAGAAGGAGAGTCCTTTGGAAAAGTTAAATTTGGTCGTGGGACTCTGGGTTAATACTGTTTGTTTGCTTGCTTGCTTACTTGTTTGTTTGTTTGAGACAGGATTCTTCTGTAACCCTCCCTGTCTTAGAATTCTCTTTTAGACCAGGTAGCTTTGAACTCACAGAGATCCACCTGCCTCTGCCTCCCAAGTGCTGGGGTCCAAGGCAAGCCCCACCATGCCTGGCTTGCTTAAATCTCTTAATACAATGACACTGGTTCCAAATTGGTATGAATACAGTAGAGAAGGGAGACCTGAGACACTGCTTCCCTGTCCCATTCAGCTAGGTGGGCACTACTTACTAAGTGCCCACTGGGTGCCAGGCTCTAGGAAACCAGGGGCAAGTAGAGCAGACACAGCCTGGCCTTCCAGCAGAAACTGAAAGACAACAAGCAGACATTCCAACAAGACACTCAGAAAACTAGAACCGTGAGACGGGGCTGTGGGACAGGAGGTGAGGGCACAGAACTGGCTCTCCTGGAAAGGTACCCTGAGGCTGAGGTGAAGCCAATTCTAGGCCCAGGGAGTGGATACCCAGTGCAGACGCTGACCAGCAGAAGAGTAGGTGGAGCCAGGCTGCAGAGGGAACTGATCACACTGGGCCTCACGGTCAACCACTGGACTAGGAAATGTATTTTCAGATAGGACTAGGCCAGGGGTGGTATCGTCTCTCCTGACCTATGTAGACTGTGATAGCCACTCAGCAGGAGAAAAGACAGTGGAGGATGTGAGTGGGCTGTGAGGCCAAGGCCATCGGTAGTCCAGATGGAGGCATCAGGGAGGAGGGCGTAGGCCACGGCGTCCATACTCAAGGTTCAGGCAGGAGTCACCATGAGGCCATGTGCGGTCCATCCCCAGAGCAACAGTGCTGGTGCCTGAACTAGACTGAGAAGAGGTGAAATGAAGGAGACCTACCCCAGAACATTCCGCTGAGGTCTGCAGCAGGCGAGGCCATCCACAGGCTGTGGTGTGCCCTGGAGATGAGGCTTGAGGCCCCTGTGCCTTTTCCCAGGCCCTAGTACTTACTTTGCCTTTTCTGAGCCCAGGCTGAGTTGGAAGGGAGTGGACCTCAGAAGAGAGGAGTGTGGATTCCTGGGCTCCAAGGGTGGATACAGAGACTCGTGCAGGACTCCTGTGCTGTGTCAAGTAGTCAGGCATGATGTCAGCCCCATCTGGACAGGTTTTCAACCTGCTGTATGGGCTCTCAGGGCGAGGGCCCCATTAGGCTTTCAGAAGCTGACGAGTAGATACTTGGGAGCTGTTGCCCAGGCTTTGGTTCATTCCCGGGTACGCCCTTGGCATGGAGTATTGTCTTGTCCAGCATATCCCTGTCTAGGACTCACAGGCCACTGAGAGTAGATGGCGTGAGGACCGTCCTTAGCCTGTCAGTCCCACGCTCCCTCATTCCCCGAGTGCAGCTCCTTGGTAGCAGGGCTGCCGAGGCTCCACCCCACCAGCTGCTGCGTTATTTCTGACTTGTCCAAGAGTTCAAGTGTGTAACCCAAACCCCTAGATCCTGCCTCCTCTCCCCCAGCTCCTTCTGGAGGAGGAGGCTCTGGGCTGCTCTCTCGGGCTGGCTGTAGCTCAGTCCAGAGACACCTGGACACAGCCGCTGGCCTTCACAGCTATCTTCAGGAGCTCTCCTCTGACAGGTGGGGTGGGTGTGTGAGGGTGGCTATGGCAGCCCTTCCAGTGCCCTGGGCAGACACTCTGGAGAGGGACTCCTTGGTGCCTTGCCCAGGGGCTCACCGCTTGCGTTCGGTAGGGGCTTTGCACAGGGTGTTGTCTCTGATCTCTTGGATTCCTGAGCCACAGGCCCCGCACAGCCACTCTGATCAAGTCCCTGTGCTTGTGCTTGCTTCTTGCCTTCAAAACCCAGAATGCTTGGAGCTTCATTTCTCATTTGTCCTGTGGCTCTTAATAGAAACCTTGGCTGTCCCCTGCAGCCTCTGCTCTGGAATAAGAGCTCCTCAGCCATACTGCCTGGGCCTTACATCTGTCACAAGGCATCGAGGACCCTCACCTCCCCTACAACCTCTCCTTTGCTGCCAGAAATGAGGTCCCTACTGGGGAGGACTATTTGAGAAAGGGGTGCATCACTGATGAGGGTCAGTATTAGAGTGTATCTCAGCCTGACATTTTCCCCATAACGTTTCCCGTCTCCTTGCAGGTGTCCCCAGAACTGGGCCAGGGGGATGAACCGCGAGGGAGCACCCGGGAAGAGTCCGGAGGAGATGTACATTCAGCAGAAGGTCCGCGTGCTGCTCATGCTGAGGAAGATGGGGTCAAATGTGAGTGCCTGTGGGCTGTGGGGGGCCTGCTGCCCCGAAGATGGGAGGGGCCGGTGCAGCCAGAACTGGGAGAGGCTCGTGGGCCCGTGAATTATCTCTGTTGTCAGGTCGGGCTCCCCAAGCACAGAGCCCACACGTTCACTTTAGGGAACATTGCTGAGATTATCTTTCCACTCCATTTTTTAATTTTGAGCTAGAGACGGTGAAGACTTTAACCCTCCTCAGTGACCTCAGAGAGGCTTCTCTTCTGGGGGCAGATACGGGGCAGCTGGGCAGGGTGGGGACTAAGGAGAGCAGCAGTAGCAAGCACAGGGGGATTTTTTGAAAGAGAAATGGAGAGACCTGAGATTGCTAATTGGCCATCGGTGTGTGGCCAGGGTCTGAGCTTTCATACCTGCTTTATGCCAGAGTAGACACTGGGTGTCAGGACTGGAACAGGATGTGACTGCTGGGACACCAGGAACAGAGGGCAGGGAGCAAGAGGGGAGGTGTGAGGCAGCAGGTGTGGGCCTTAGGGGACAGGTCCAGGGTGCTGGGGGCAGCAGGTGTGGGGCCTTAGGGGACAGGTCCAGGGTGCTGGGGGCAGCAAGTGTGGGCCTTAGGAGACAGGTCCAGGGTGCTGGGGGCAGCAGGTGTGGGCCTTAGGAGACAGGTCCAGGGTGCTGGGGGCAGCAGGTGTGGGGCCTTCAGGGACAGGTCCACACTCCTCTCACCACAGCGCTCTCACCCTGCAGCTGACCGCCAGTGAGGAAGAGTTCCTGCGCACCTATGCAGGGGTCGTCAGCAGCCAGCTCAGCCAGCTGCCCCAGCACTCCATCGACCAGGGTGAGCCCTCCCCGAGCAGAGCAGTGTTCTCTACAAAGCTGAATGGGCAATCCGATCCGTAAGGGAGAGCAGACTGTTGTTCCCTCCATCCACAGGCTCCTGTCAGCTCCCAGCGGTGGGATCCAGCAAGGCAGGCGGTGGATCTCTTTCTAGGCCTGGAGGAAGGAGGAGGTAGACTTGTCCTTGTGCAACCACAGGGTGTCTGATTATTGCATCCCTTAACCTTCAGTCTGACCCTAACCACTCAGCACCTAGTTCAGGGAATGTGAAACTGCTCAGTGTGTTCTGAGAACACTGTCCCTGTCGGGTACAAGTGTCGGGTACAGTGACTGGCAGGTCTGCCACCAGCAGGAAGAGGTGGCTCAGAGGGCTTGATTTCTCCACATACAAAAGATCTTCACGGTCAGAAGTTCCACTATAGTGTTTATTGTACAACAGGGGCCGTGCCAGGGATCAATACACAGCATTGGCCCTTGACAGCTGTCGCTTGTATTACTTCCAGTTAGCAGGCAGTGTTTGGGAAGCAGGAAGTCACTGCCCTTGACCAGACATAGGTGCCTAGGAATTGAACTGCTCCTCACTGACAAGGCTGCTGGGCTGCTAGCTCCTCGTCCCTTTGCTGCTCACGGAGCCTCCTCCCCCCTGAGAGATCCGCCTGACGCCAGCTCAGGGTTCTGAGCAGCATCTCCTCATGGTCCTTTTCTGTTCATCTTTCACGCTTGGTTGGGACTTGGTTGGGGTTGTACAGTATTTTAGTGAGCCAGGCAGTGTGGGCCACACCTTTAATCCCAGCACTCAGGAGGCTAGCCTGTTTTACAGATCAAGTACTAGGAAAGCCAGGGCTACACAGAGAAACCCTGTCTCAAAAAAAAAAAAAAATGGTACTTTAGTGGCCCGTAGCATGTTCAGGCAGGAGCAGCCACCAGAGTAGAGCAGAGCAGAGTGTTTGGCAGTGTTGAGGCTGCTGGGGGGGAGAGCAGGTCCGGCACACTGGGCTGCCACCCCATTTATCCTTCATGTCGTGGGCTCAGCCCTAGATACAGGGGTTGCTTCCCCGGCACTAGTGCTTGCCCCAGACAGCTCGGAAGAAGTCTTCCAGGGTACCTCTGGGAACTCAGCAATTTGGGACTGAGCATGTATCATACAAAACCATGCCCAGGCGTGCCTGCTCAAGTGTGCTGCACAGCCGGGTGTGTTTGCCGTCAGCCCTGCCTTCCCTCTGCCTCTTGAAGGAGTGCCTTTCTTCTTAACGGGTGGTCTGGGTTTCCCCACCTAGCTCCTAAGCCAGGCCCACCTGAACGCTCCAGACTTCTGAGTTAGTTCCAGGGGACGTTTCTTACCCCCACATGATCTGGAGTCACGGAGTTTCTGAGTCTCTGTGCAGATGTCCCTACTCAGATGTCCTTAATAGGAACGGTAAAGAAGCTGGGGACCATGGCAGACTAGGCCACACCCACACATGTCCCTTTGTCTTGAATGGATATAGAAGAACTGAGGGGATACATACTGTTAATATGGAAAAGATGGATCAGTCCTGGAGCCTCCTGTGTGTCAGCCTGTGCTCTACTGGGCTGCACCCCTGAGAGGACACAGAGACTGGACACAGGTTTTCATAATGGACTTTTACTTTCCAAGTTAGCGAGTTTTGTGAAAATATTTTTGTGTGTTGTTTAAGCATTCTTTCATAAGAAGTGAAAAATTTTCACTGGGTCCAACCCAGGGCCCTGCACATGCTAGGTAGGCACACTAGTATTCAGTTATAGCCCCCTGCCTTTAAGAAGTTATGTGTTGGCTCAGCAGTTAAGAACAAGTACTGTTTTTTTGCAGATGGCCAGAGTTCAATTCCCAGCACACCCATATCAGATAATTCACAACTACCTGTAACTCCAGTGCAATCTAGTGTCACTGGCCTCCATAGGAACCTGCACTCACATGCACAGACACCCACACATACTTAACTAAAAATAAAATAAAATAAATCTTTTTAAAAGTTACTGTTTATTATCTATTTACAATAAAAAATAATAAAAGTTATTATTTAACTGTACATGTTGGTGCACACTTATATATCCTAGCAAGAGTTCAAGGCCAGCCTGAGATACATGAAACTCTATTTTATGTACATATAAAGCATACACACACACACACACACACACATGAAAACTTACTTTGCAGAACCAACAGTTGAGAATACACAGTCTACTGTGCTGTTTAAGAACGTCACGGTAAAGGCTGAGGTTATAGCTTAGTCGGTAGAGTGCTTGCCTAGTGTCCATGAAAACTTGGGTTTAGTCCCCAGCACCAAATGGATACATAGTAACACCCCCTAGATCCCAGCACTTGGGAGGCAGAGGCAGGAGGATCAACTAAGTCATTCTTGACTACTTAGTGAGTTGGAGGTTGGCCTGGGCGATGTGAGACTCTGTCTCAGAAACAGGAGGTAACCACGGTGACCTCACTGTGCCGTGGCTCCGAAACTGCTGATGTAGCCAGAGGCAGCTGTGGGCAGGTAGGTGTGGCTGTCAGAGACACTCTGGAATCTGGGGCCTCTTGGGCGGGAGGCATCTGTAGACCTTTCTTTGCTGTGGCATGCATTTTCTGGATTGGGGAGAATCATATCTGATGAAGGGTGTGGAACATTTGTGCTGCTGATGCCCCGTACCTCTGGAAGTCACATAGATCCAGAGTAAATTCTACTTCAGGAGGCTTGAGGATTCCAAGGACTGTGAACTGGGGCCAGGAGGCCCCCCAGTGTGGAAGATCTGCTCAAACTTTCTTTTATTTTCTCTGTGTTACAAATCAACCCACGTCCAGATACATATTAATAGAGCCCCAGGCTAGTGTCTAGTCTAGGCCATGAGCTTATGTCTCTGTCCATGCTGTGAGGCTGAGTGGCACTGCCTAGCCAACCTCAGCTCATGCACCAAATGTCTGCCTAGGTGGCCAAGGGGGTCTTACACATCTGCCCACTAGGTGGCTCTGTCTCTCAGCAGATGACAAGGCTCCACCCTAGGGTTCGCAGACCCAGACAGGATTTCTAGCATCTTCCTTTGGATTGTCCCTCTCGTCAGAGATCCTGAGGCAGAACCAGCCACAGGACAGTACTCAGTCTCATACACTCTTGCCTGCTGGGGCTGGAGGGGTCTGGTACCTGAGTATTCCTCTACCCACAACAGTCCTGCTGTGCTTATAGAGAGTAGGCTGGAAAGATGCTGGGGCAGAAGTCTGCACCATAACGTTGACCAAGTGGTTCCTGCAGTGGCCCAGTGGCTTCCCAGAACTGAACAGTGGCCCTTCAGCAGAGATCACTGTGACCGCCCCCTTCCTCCTCTTCAGTCTTAGTGTTCCCCTCCCTCCTCCTGTCCTCTCCATTGTATTGGTGCCTCTAGACTCAGTCCTTTCCCCTACCCCTTCCCTCGTTACCTACTCTGTCTGATTTCTATAGACTTCAGGTCAGCTCCTTCCAAACATACCCTCACCCAGGGCCCACTCCCGACCCCAGAGCTTTCAGCTGTCTGTCTTGACACAGCCTGCCCTGTGTGCTCAGTGGGTCTGTTTCTTTACCTGTGTGCTCTCTTGGTAAGGGAGCAGGTCACAGCCCAGGCTCATGGGCAGCACTGCTGTCACTCCTGCGGCCTCAGATCTTCCTGCCTCAGCGCTCCCGGCCAGCCTCCTCCTCTTAGGTTTTTGGATTTTTGTTGTTGTTATTTTTTGTTTGTTTGTTTTGTTTTTGTTTGTTGTTGTTGTTTTTCGAGACAGGGTTTCTCTGTATTTTGTTTTTTAAGATTAATTTATTTTTATCTGTGTGTGTACCTGGATTTATGTATGTATACCATATGCATGTAGTCCCCACAGAGACCAGAACAGGGCATTGGATCCCCTGAACTGGAGTTACAGATGATTGTGAGCCACCGTGTGTGTGCTGGGGTCTGAATGCAGGTTCTCTGAAGGAGCAGCCAGTGCTCTTAACCTCTGAGCAGGCTCTCCAGCCCTGGCTGTCTCTGGCTTTTGTGTGTTTGTGACAGGATCTTATATGGAGTATACTGATCTTGAGTTTGCTTTATAGCTGAGGATGGTCTTAACCTTTAATTTTTTTCCATTTGTTTATGTGTATTAACATGCCTGCCATGACCCATACACACACACACACACACACACACACACACACACACACACACACGGAAGTCAGAGGGCAATTTGCAGGAGTTAACTTTCTCCTTCCATTATGAGGGATCCAGAGATTAGCAAGGTTGGCAGCAGATGCCTTTACCTGCTGAGCCATTATGCTCACCCCTTCTTGAACGTTGATCGTCCTCAGTGCTGGGATTATTGGCAGGCATTGCCATGCAGCGCTGAGAATCACACTCAGAGATTTGTGCATGCCAGACAATCAATCACTCTACCAATTGAACCGCTCCCCGGTCCAGTTAGTTAAACTACAGCTTAGTTTACTTGTGTGTGTGAGTGTTTTCCCTGTATGCGTGTAAGTGTGCCTGGTACCCGAAGAGGCTAGAATCCCTGTATGCGTGGATGTTTGTCCCCTCTCCACTCCCATAGCCAGAGTGACTTTAGAAGACTCAGAAGTCAGCACTGCAGAGTCACAGTCTCTCAGTGGCTCCCCGCCACCCTGCTCCACGCCCTCCCTCACACCCTAGTGGGCATGGGAACTGACTACTCATCCACACGGCTGGGTTCACCCCTCCTGCTTCTGCACTGTCAGGCTCCAGGACTCACCCTTCAGCCTCCTGCAGCCCAGGCCAGGCCCTCTGCTGACCAGATACTGAGGTCTTTGAGCTCTGGACTGAGGCCTCCTTCTAGGTGGGCATCTGTGTGGCTGGATAGACCTCACTAGGCTCTCAGTGAATACAGTTGAATGTAGTGATTGAGCAGGTTCTGGAGCTAAGAGTTAGAGAGGCAGTGACTTCTGTGAGTACTGTCCCTGGTCCCCAAGGATGGCCAAGCAGACTTGACAGTCAGGCAGGACTCTGCTTTGAACAAAA